TTTCAACATTGACGGATCCGGTGGAACAGGAAAGACCTTCCTGTGCAATGCGGTAATACGCATCGTGAGGGGAGAAGGAGAAATCGTATTGCCTGTTGCATGGACTGGAATAGCTGCAACTTGGCTGGAGGTAGGAAGAACTGCCCATTCCCGTGTTAAGTTTCCAGTGCCGAGTGTTGAAAATTCAACTTGCAATGTCCGTCCCTAAGGCCAGGAAGCAAGTGGATCGAGGACTTCCAGGCTCTTGATATGGGATGAAGCATACATGGCTCCCTCCTATGCTATCAACGCCCTATGCTTCGCGACATTATGAATAGCAAAGTGCCTTTCGGTGGCAAACTCCTGGTTCTTGATGGGGACGTCAGACAACTTCTTCCCGTCGTTCGCCATGGCAATAAATGCGCCATCCTTGCTGCCTCCCTGAAATGTAGCTCTCTTTGGCCACTATTCAAGATAATGAAACTATCAATGAACTTGAGAACGGCACGGGAGAAGGAGTAGCTCTCAGAATGGCTGTGGTCTCTCGGAGAAGGCCGTCTCCCGATTTCGGAAGAGATCTCCGTTTACGCTGTTGCACTGCCTCAGCAATGGGTGGTCAACGACAACATGATACATCATGTCTATGGCAATGTCATCGCTCCTGAACACCTTGATTCGATACAAAACAAGGCCATCGTTTGCCCCAAGAGTGAAGAGACACTTGAATTAAACGAGGAAGTTCTAACACGAGTAGCGGGGGAATCCAAGAACTATATCAATATCGACTCTGTTGTGTGCGATGATCCCGAGGAGCAAAGTAATTAACCAGTGGAGTTTCTGAACAGCCTGACCCCATCTGGAATGCCACCTCATGAGTTGAAACTCAAGTCTGGAGCCGTCATCATGCTCCTTCGCAACCTCAACACAAAACAAGGGTTACGCAACGGATCGCATTCGATCGTACGTCGCACGATGAACATCATCGATGCCGAAGTTGTAAGTGGAGGCGCGAAGAGGGATCGAGTCCTCATACGAAGGATTGAACTGGCTCCTTCCGACACGAACCTGCCCTTCACTCTGAAGCGCCGCCAGTTCACAATTCGGCTGGCTTTCGCCATAAGCATCCATGAGGCGCAGGTTCAAACCATCGACCGAATATGAATTTTCTTACCCAAGCCGGTGTTCAGCCATGGTCAGTGGCTGGTATGTGGCTTCCTAACGAGGCCGATCTTTTGACTGCGCCAAGTTGAAGTTCCTTACATCAACTAAACAAGGTCAAATGGGAAACGGTTCACATTTCATATTGAATGCTGTCTATAATGACATTTTGTGGTTTCGTTTGATCAGTTCTTTCTCTCTAATAAAATGCGAAATTCTACTAGCAAAGTTAGCAAAGGAACACCTTTGAATGCGGTAACGCTGTCCGGCACGAATACACGAAGATCGCAGGCATCGTCAGTTCCTATATTCATGTCAGGTCACGTGACCGGGTACTGGCTTGTTTATAATAAAACTATGGAAGATGCAAAGCATCGCTATATTAAAATCACTTTCTTAAATCTAAAAAAAATGTATTATTTTCTACTTTCATTATAAAAGGAAGAAGGTCTCTGTTCGGCTATGAAGATAAACTCATCTCAATGCAATGCCTGAACAGACTTCGGGCGGGGGCGATGGGTGGTTCACCGGGGTGGATTGGGGAAATGAACTAATTCTGATCCTCCAACCGTCGGGAAAAGGAGTGAAAATATGCATTATTGGAAATAAAATTAAGTAAAAACCTTCCATGACCCTAGAGCATATTGTTATTTGAGAAAAAATTCTAAGAAGTGTTCAAAGAGTGCAATCATCTCATCCTGCAACACGGCCACAATCAAAGGATTTCCAGACCTTACTGTTCATTTTCAAGGAATGGGCTGAAGTTGGACTTGTTTTATTTAATCATGAAATTTCAATGAAGTTGTTCAAATACAGTACATGACGTGAATATCATCAAATTTCGCAAAAATGAATGAGTCTTTAATCTTTCCTGAACACAACGGGATGACACTTTTCTTCCTTTGCCTAATCTGAGGATTTTATTTCCGGGTGGCTTTTTTCTGCAACCCGATACGAAGAAGCTCTCAAAGTTTGGAAATTTCCATTCGGGAAAAAAGAAAGATATTTTCTCATGCGAAGGAATACATACCTTCGATCAATAGCGTCGCCTAGTTTTACTTTTCTGCATAAAAAATTCTCGGTGTGGTTCAGCTCATCAATTTTCAAAACTAAGCGCGAAGACAATGTGGTGTTAGGGAAGTTGCTCAGTTGAATAAGTTCTTTGATATGACTCTGACACACACAGGCGACTCAACATGCGACATCTGTTTTGCCTGCAAGGAACTAATTCAAGGGATTTCTGTGGTATTCCAGTTCGGTTCAGTTCCGTTCGGCGTTGCTCTGGTCGACGTTATTCCGGTCGCTGTTATTCTAATTCGGCGTTATTCCGTTTCGGCGCTCTTCCACTTTAGGGCATTCGACTTCTTTCCGGTTCGCAACATTTATATTTGGTGCTATTCCGGGAATTTATTTTCGGTTTTGTTCCTGTCGGCACTATTCCAGTCGGCGTTAGTCCATTAGTCCAGTTCGGCGTTGTTCCTGCCGACATTATTCCGACACTGCAAACTTGTCGACATAGTTCTGTTTTGGCGCTATTCCGTTTGTGCGAATTCCGCCTCCCCGATATTCAGGGAGCACAAATACATTATTATAAGAAGCCCATGCACCTCTCACTGGTTACATTTCCGTATCGAGGCGGATGAGGACTTGGGTCTTCTTTAAAGAGAACTGGCCATTCTAACTAGAAAATCCTTCGTAACTAAAAATAAAACTCAACAGTTTTGTTGCTGAAAAGCAAGTAAAACACAAATTCGACAGAGTACACGTAATAAGTTCGTCGGTACATTGTAGAGTAAGCATAGAATAAAATCGCGTTCTCCGAAAGCAATGAGCCTTAACTTCAAAGAATGCCAAAAGCCTGCAAAGATTTTCTCCTCCCTCGATGACTTGACTTCTCTGAGAATTTTTGAGCGTGAAAAAATTGCATTCAGTGGACACCACGACATAGAAAAGTCTCCGAATTAGCAGGGCTCAAGATTATTATTTAAATCTTGAATATATTTCATTTCGATGGCCCACTGAAAACAAGCCTTTAGTTGTTCCTTAAGTTCCTTAAGTTAAGCCTTCCTTAAGTTGATTTCGTACACAGGCGCTCCATGGATTTTCGTGTGCGACTTGTGGATGAGACACGCTCGGAGAAGGATTGTGTTCCTCAATCGATTAAGATTGACACGGGCGACGTTGTGAATGAGGTACACATCCTTGTGATTGAGGTACACATCTTTGTGAATGAGGTGCACATCCTTGTGATCTGTGTTTTCCTTGACAGAGCTTCTTTGACATCCAGCGCCATAACGGATGAGTGAGACTTGAAGACAAAGTATGAATTTCTGCGTTTCTTGCGAGTTCCCCGAAGAAATGCATGAGGTACCACCTGGATTACCTTCACGATGCGGAATGGATGTCCATAAATGGAAAAACAAACGCCGGGGCGTGCACTCTTTGCACATTAAACACTTCAACGAGGGGGGGGGGGGAAGAATGTCTAATACCATGAAACCATTAGCAGATTTAAAAAATCGGCTGAATGTTGGATATTATTGACAGATTTGGGGCTTTCGACCTGAGGCAAAAGTACCGCAGGAGCGCTCTATGTTCATTGTGTTCCTCAATGGAGTAAAACATTTGAGGAAATGGTACTGGGAGTATTAGGATGGAGGTCACCATACACGAGTGCAAATCAGGCAAACGACGTTGGCTGCATTATACATCTGTTCTCGGTTTTTTTTTCGCATCTAGTGACGTACATGGGCTAACACGCCCCAATAACTTCTTCACTTTCAATTCCTCCTCATGCTCATCCAGGAGCTTTTGGATGGAATTAAATCATAAATAAATTAAGTAGAATTCAGAAGCATTCCAATGTTTAAAAGTTCTCTGGTAAGCACAATAATGCACAATTTCAGAATAAGATTGTCATCATGAACTCTTTATTTTCTAACAACATTGACTTGAAATGAAAAGCGAAAGTAAGAACCTGAAGGAAAATAATTCAATTTACGCAAGAATATTTAAATGCATGACTGATTCATTGACTGGTCGCAACAGATTCTTCAAAAATTGACGAATATTGCCTACCATCTTGTGGAGCTCGCAGTGACGAGATTTTGTGGCATTAGCAAGCTTCAACATTGCATTCGGTTAGAAATGACACTGTTCCTTGACCTTAAGAAAGCTGGAAAACAAACCGAATCAATAGGGAATAGAGAAAATTCAGCGAAAAGAGCAATTCTGACGAAAAATTATAGCAATCAAACTACGGTCATTGAAGTCAATATTGTAGCGGGAATAAAGTACCTTATTCTATACATGTACACATGCATTAATGTGCTTTATTTCATGCAATAAGAACAACTTTGAGGGGTGCTTAGAAGAAAAGGTAGTGAACTCCTTCAAGTAGCCCGAATATGTCACTTATTATTTTGAATTTCATGAATGAATTGTCATGTGCGGAATGAGTGCTTTCGATCCAAAATCGGATCTTTGCATTTCGCGCGAGTGCAATCATACCCAAGACCAAGAAAGAAGCAGGCATCGTCATGAAAAATACATGAGGAGAATCGAAAAAATTCACGATAAATATTTTTCTTGAGTACAACTGGTCGCTAGCGAGGTTAAAGCATGGATATGAGACGGAATAGGTTAGAGCATGGACTCCATAGAAATCGACATGGATTAGACCAGTGGTGCCCAACCTTTTCGGCTAGGGGCTACATTGCTCACTACCACAGTCATCGCGGGCCATATTAAGTCACTAGTAAAGTTGGAGATTACTTTTAGGAAACCTGAGGGTATTGTGGGTTAGGGCCTCGTGGGCCACATTTTGCCCGCTGGTTGGGCACCACTGGACTAGAGTGACCAGACTATTCGAGTTCATCAAATCGGAAATCAGGCTCAGTCGTATCAATAGCCCAGCGAAACTTCTCTCTCTTAGTCTTGCTGAAGATCTCTTCAATAGGTATACCATGTTTCTTACACCAGGCAATGGTTATTCTTGGATCCAAGTAGTACAATTTTGAAACTTCTGGGGCCGGTTCCTTTCCTTCTTTTGCGTGAATTGCCTCGATTTTGAGTTTCGAGAGCTTCTCTTCCTGTCTCCAAAGAGTCTTCTCCTTCTTTTCCACCTCTGCCTTTTCCCCCATGCCCTTAGACTTCTCGTAGGCTTTCTGTGCAGTCTCCAGATTTCTTTTAGCCTGCTGCACCGCTCTCTCTGCTTCTTTGATATTCTCTTCGTGGATCTTGATCGTATTGGTATTGATTTTTGGGGTCGAGCGCCGATGGTTGCAAAGTTTTGCCACGGCCCAATTTGCTTCCTCGTAAGCCAATTTCTTTCCTTCGAATGTGTCATTAGGATCAGTCAGTTTATCCAGCTGTTCCTGCAGCGTTACAGATGCTCTATATGTTCGGAATACCTTGGCAGTCAGTCCAGGCATCTGGGCTTTCAAGTGTTTGTTGAGATCATTCGGGTTGAGACGGTCGAAGATGACATCTCCATCCTCCTTATCTTCCAATAGGAACTGCAGGTTCTTAAATACTTCCTCCTCAACAGATACCTCATTCAGATACCGGACTGAGTCTTTGCCGAGGAAGTCAAACATCACCAAAAACTTTTTACCGTCACGTTCTGATGTAAGGGTGATATGTTCATAACGTAGAGAGCAACAGCCAACTGTATCAGCTGTTACTTCTACATCTTTTTCGTTCCCGACTCGGAGGGCCAGTTGGTCTATGAGGTACATCGCAATTCCCCTCTGCTTCATCTGTACATCCTCGCTCTTCATGTCCTCGCTGTAGTTTTCCCGAATATTTTCGATGTGTTTGTGGAGCCTTCGAGCAGTTTCAAACTTCTGAAAATCCCTTTTCATATTCTGGGAGGATGAAGGACTTAAGGTGACATACCTGAGATGTCCAGTGATAATGTCAGTCCAGCAGGCCAACCAGGTCACCTTCGGGTCGTGACGGATTTCCTTCCATTCCTGTTCTGGTGGTGGCTCTGGCTTAAAGTGCTCGCTGCAATTGATAATGACGTCTTCTGGCCTGATGCGAGTTTTAATTTTCCCCTGCATGGGGTGTTCCCCTCGGCCAATGAATATACCAGGTTTTTCTACTTTGAAGTTGCCTATGCGCTCCTTACGGCCGTCGATGGTACAATAGCCGTATTCCTTCAAGATGGCTTCCTTCTGTTTCTGCAATTTTTGCTTTTCTTCATTCGACTTCATTTCCATCTTCTTTTTTCGTAAATAGGTATATATCTCTCTGAAATTGCACTGTTTAATGTCCGTGATGATTTCTCTCTCTCCCTCTGTCATGACTTCGCGCCAGTCTTCCATGAAGTTCTTATTGAAGATGTCCCTCGCTGTACATTCACGATTCAGTTTCTTTGCATAAAAAGTGGCAGCCTCTTCTGCTGGGAGAGATAACTTGAACTCTTTCCCCTCATAATAAAACCGGATATTTTCAGGAAGCCGTTCATATTCCGGAGCAAAAATTGGACCTTTGTGTTCCATGACCGTCCACTTATTGCGACGTTTCTCTTCTTCATCATCCTCCCATTCGCTTTCGTCCTCCTCACTTTCGTCCTCTTCACTTTCGTCCTCTTCCATATCCTCCAATTCCATATTGTCCTTTTCCCAATCCCATTCTTTGACACCATCCTCCTCCACATCCATATAATCCTCGTTATGGTTTGACTTCCATGGTTCTGACCCCGCTTTATTAGATTCATTCATGCACTGCGAGTAATGATGATCGTCTTCATCTTCGAGCTTCTGAAACAGTTTCGGAAAACCGTAATGAATAGTCATATGAAAAGACTAGACCGATACGACTTAAGAGCGTAGATTTCACTTTTTAAAAGTTTTTAGGCATTCGCTACAGAGAAAGGTGAAGAAGTGAGAAAAAATTTGAGTGATAACCGCAATGATAACCGTTCACTAATTTTAGTACCAGCTCTGTTCCTCTTGAACATACTTGAAACATTTTTCTTTTCGGGGTCAGGCAATTATCTATATAAGCCCAAGTGTTAGCATAAATTGCTAATTGTGTTGGTTCTAGCCGTTCGTTGAAACTCGACATAACTGTTTTGCTTCAGCGAAACACCTCATTCGGCTCACATGAGATGACGATCCTGCATCTCCATTTCTCTCCATCTTCAGTGCCTGTGTGAGAGATGCAATGACGAACAATAGATTTATAAATGAGTTACTTTAATGCTATAAAATTCCGTCTCTACTGAGAAGCGCCCAAATTATTGCATTTTAAGACATGAAGAGTTTGATGTGAGTGTTCATGAATGCAATCTGTGAACTGTCAGTATATGGCCTTCACAGCTTGGAGAGTCTTGTGAACATCCTGCGTTTTTTCGTCCATTTTGGAAAGGCAATTTCCCAGCAGCTTTTCAGAAACCGGTCCCACAGGTATTTAATAATTTTCTCAGGCTCAAGAAGTGTGTACATGATGAATTCAAGTTTGAAGCATGTGTAGGGTGAAAACATAAATATGACGAACATAACTCCGATTGCGATTTTTTTTATGCCTACATGTCCTTTCCAATTCTTTCCATCCATGACTTGAGTTCCATTTATATCTCTTTTAGACATTTAAATAGATAAAGCTTTAGGTGTGGTGGGGGAAAGCTGATTGTCACAACAAATGTCTTTTACAATTATTAGCACAGGCGGCTGGAGCTTTGTGACAGTTACGCTTGTACTGCTTATCGGAATTATGAATATTTTGAAGAACTATGAGGCTATAAGAAGTTATAGATTAACACGCTGCCTCTCAATGTCGAAGGTTTTCCAGGGCTCATCCAAATATCACATTCGGCATGGAAATTGTTCAAACGGTTGTGTTTCATTTTGCAGCAATTGAGACTCAACAGTATTTTCCCAAAGCAACTCCTCTTACCATTTACGAATGTGAGCCTCTACTGCAGTTACTGGAATTTAAAGGAGATAGTCCATGAATAGTAATCATACCTCTACAATAAAGCTGCGGTCCTTTCTTCTCAATCACTTTCAGTACCACTGGTACAAGCATCAAAGAAGCCTGGAGCCATCACTGACGAACTTTGTGACGCAGAACGTGGCATGAGGCCACAGGTGTCATCCGATACAAGACGCTCGAGCCGGATGTGAACATCATCATCGCTGGTATGGAGATAACGTCATGTCATGAGCGCAATACCTATGTGGACATATATATAGGGTCCCGATAGCACTCTTCCCTGTCTTTCCCTCTCATGGCTCTTGACAGTGACAAGATATATGAGGTATACAAGACAGGCAGGCGCAGGAGGCTCGACGCTCGACGATGAATGGATCCTCCAACTGGAACTCCAAGGATAACTCTCTCTATCAATTAATTAATGACACACGGCGCAAACTTATCTAAGGTACTTTTATCCTTCCTTTTTCTCTATAAGCTTAATTTGGCCTGCATGGTTTACTCTGGCCGTACTGTGCACGGATTCGACCTTCACCACCAGTGCCCTTTTTCTTTTCCACTTCGTGCTCAATTGAGCACAAGGACAGAACACATTACATTTATTTCATGGATATTTGACCCATTATTTCATCCATGAGGACATTTCCTGAAATAGAGGATCCACCCAGACATCGTCAACCGAGTTCATTGTTTGCTTACTGCTGAAATTCAGTTGGCAGAATGCCGAGCCTCTCGTGACAAAGACGAGCGATGGAATCGCTCCACCTTGCACGAGGTCTACCGACAGGCCTTTTGCCGGTCATCTTGGCCTGGAAGATTCCTCTTGGAAGTCCCTCACTGGGCATGCGACAGACAGGTCGGAACCATCGGACCTGAAACCTCTCGATCCCAAGAAGCAGCAGCTCGACATGGAGGCTCTCGCGGATGACAGAGTTCCGCATCTGATCACGACGCGATACGCCAACCACCCGACGAAAGAACCTCATTCCGGCAACTTGTATTCGCGATCTGGTTCTTTTGGCCATGACCCAAAGTTCATGATATGGACGTCTTTCCTAATTATAGATTTTTGATATTGTATGGGATAAGTCATACAGTGAGTATCGGAAAAAAAACCTGTTCAAGTCATATTAAGAGCCCAATATCCGTGGATCAGGAAATGCGGGGAGGGAGTCCTATATGTGACGACAAATGCAGGTGCGATAAGACAATCAAGAGTGAATTCTTTCTAATCCGGGGCGGCGAGGAAAGGGATTCTTCTAGTCATTCGAAGCGAAAGTAGAGAGAAATCGTCGCATCTGATTGGAGAGCGCCTGTGCCGTCGAAGTTGCGGCCTTTCGGAAGGAACTTCATCTGTGAAACAGCGTCAAGTCTTAATTCTCGAGGTCCGGTGATTAGAGAGAATATGAGAGCAATGTCACCCCACGAATGGCTAGAAGTTCCATGTCACTGCCATGGTACTGATCGATTGCGGCGGTTACTGCAGACAAACTCAGGAAGGGCTTGCACAGTTTCTTTAGTACGGCTTTTCCATGGCCGCCCAGTGCATTTGCCATATTCAAAGGGTTCCTATCCTTCACGAAATCGACTGTGCCACTCGCACACATAGACAATAATCAGGTCATCGAAAAGCCCGTAAAGAGGAAACTGTGCAAGCCCTTCCTGAGTTTGTCCGCAGTAACCGCCGGGAGTCAATCATTACCATGGGAGAAACATAATTTCTATCCAATCGTGAGGTGAAGTTGCTTCCACATTCTCCCAATTCACACCCAGTACGAAAAAAGTTCCTATAAGAACCTGAGAGAATTCTTACAAGAATGATATGCATTTTTTGCTGAAAAAAAAACTCATAGAATCCTTTAGAATTTTCCTAAACGGGTGGTGAAAATTTTTCTCAACACTTGTGTATTCACGGTGTTTTCCCAGATGGCGTTTTCTTTATAAAGGCCACAACTTCGACGATACGCGTCTTGTTATTCATTCTTCCTTCAAAGTGGGCGGTATGCGCTTATCTGAAGCTTAGGATTTTTGGGTATTTGCCCCATATTCAAGTCTGTATCGCGTTCTCAGCACGGCTGAGGCACTTACGGCCAGGATCTTTCTTCCTCTCGCTCACTTGCACCTCTTAGAAACTCTCTCGGCCTTCAACAGCTCCATCCATACCAAAGGTCCTCATCACAACCACCCAAGAAGTGTGAGGCCCGTGGTACTTCGGTATGTCTACAACTGAGAGAGAATCTGCTAAACTCCCAGGTCTAACCATGAGGAGTCTCCCATGACTTCGCTGGCGTTACCCAACAAGTCGCGGTTCTCCTGAATTTTAGAGCTACCAAAATGCGTTGAATCGAACCCTGCAAGCGGACCTTCTTAATGACCAGCCAGCCCACTGTCAGGATCCCGTGTCACCGAGGGGGAGAGAGTCCCCAGCATCTGAGGGGCGAGGTCCTCTCTCCTCTGCGAGTTATTCAATTGGAGACTGAACAATCGCAGGCCGGAAACCAGGAGCATATCAATGATATTTGGATTAAGTATTTGACCTTGATCGTGATAGGTGGAAGCTCGATCTCGATGTTGCGAAGAAATATCAGGATCTCGTCATGAGAATCTGAATAAAATATTCATCGGCATTTCAAGGCGGTATCTCAGTCGACACCTTCATTAACATTATCCAAGTAACTCGAAATAGCCCTAAACTCGACATCAGAGTCCGCACTAGCACGTCTGGGAACTCCAATATAGAGCCACCATCGTCGTATTTGGCTCGTAAGTCCAGGGATGGGGTTCTAGAGGTTAGCCGAGGCCTGAACGTAAATCACCCGTGGGATCGGAAGAGGCATTTCAATCCCAATGTCTCAATTAATATTTATTTCCATTTGGCAAGAGGAAATATATATAGAACACTACGCGGGTAGCAGACAGGAATATTGATTAGCCCGACCTATCCCGCTGATCGGGCAGCGTTTCGGGTGGGGTTAGGAAAATGAACCCTTGGAAGCCTCCCGCAGAGAGAGAAATGCGCAAACCAACCACCAGGTCGTCATTGGAGAGGGGGGATTATTTAAGATAAGAGATAAGACGTATTAAAATATTTTTTTTTTTAAACGATAAAACACCAGGTTAAGAGGACAAATTAGTTACGAGTTCAAATTGCAATGTTTGTCAAATTCTTGAGGTGCATCACAGATGATCATTACAGTTTCAATGGCAGCAACTGCATCAAAGGATCTTTACGACCATGTTTGGATTTTTATTTTACCAGGCAGAACATGAATGTGTTTTTCTTCATATTTCTGGCGACTGGCAAGTACACAACGTTCTCCCTGGTATTTGGCTCAGCTGATCTGTAAGATGTCATTAGCAATGCATGCAATTAGTGCGAGGTATTTAGTTAAATATTGCAGTGCATTGTGGGACCTATGGGGTTACGACGCTAATGAATGAGGTGACCTAGGGTGTTGGGGCATGTGCCTTCCAATTTTACAAGTTTTCTCAGTAGCTTTTGGAATTGAAGACACATGCCTGTTTCAGATGGTTTCCGTACACTAGTAAGCAATAGAAAACAGCAGATAAGATACAAGCATAAATAAACAGAGCAATTGTATCATTTTACCTTCCGCAGCTTTTCAACAGCCAGGATGAGTAGAATGCTAATCATAATCCTCTTTCAACCGAGAGTCTAACATGTGAACTGAAGCACAGGCTTTTGTCAAAAGTTATCCCAAGGTACTTGGCATTTTCTGAGGGATGGATTATGAGACCATTTATTGATATTTCCTCATTCACGAGGGAGGTGTTCTTGGTTTTTTTTATTATTATCCCTCACTGGTGGGAAATCAGTTGTTTAGATTTCTCTGGATTC